CAGCATTGACGTGACATGTACAGTTTCATCTATAGGGGGCGCCAAAATTTGCACATTCTGAACGTTCCTCACAGGATCTTTGCTATGAGATAAATCTGCACACATCTCTAACGGACTGATCCTGTGTTGTACCTTCAGTGGGCACAAACATGCCTTCACTGTTATTTAAGCAGATTATTCAGATTTGGTGGACGGGTATCAGAGGATGTTAAGTGAATGAACCATGAAGCAAAGACTAAACATACAGAACAGAGGCAGAGAGAGAAATAAGGGAGTTCAGAGTAATCAGTTATCACTGCTGTGATTTATGGCTTGTTTTCACGTTAAACATGTTATGTGTACAATGACAACAGCCCAGTTTATTGAAAAATACCTGCCTGCTTAAAATAAAGTGCTCCATTTCTCCCTCTTCAAAGGATCTGGTCCGCTTCAGGGAGTGAAACGCAATTATAGAACAATAATAACATCTACATGTAAAAAAGGAGGAGAACTGTGGGCTGTGGTGTGGGGGAGGGAGGGTGGGGTGGTTAATGGGTGCTCCACTCTGTTTTCCTGTCTGTGAGATTCCAGAGTCCTCTGACTCATCTTGGCCCGTGCAGCGCTCACTGTTATTACCCATCAGAAAGGGTTTTTATGAAGTTCTTTACAAAGCGACGGACAAAAGGAAAAACCAGTTTTACAGTTTGCCAAGTCAACGCACAGGCCCTCATGATTCCACATTTTCTCCCTCCATGTCTGTAAATGGGAAACATGTGTGCTTTGATGGCCGAGATTCTTGTTATTATTAGTTTGTTTTGAATTAGGCTTGTGATTGCAGGATACCGGGGGACTTTCACTCTCTATCAAAATGCTGATTTGACAGAATACGCCTTATTTTTAGCAAAGGCGCTTCTGAGCTTCAGAGCTTGATGATTCTGCTGAGGTAATATGGCACTTTATTGATCCTTTTTGGGAAATTCCCCTTTAAAACAGGCATATTAGGGAGAGGTCAGGGGTCAACAGCTGTGTGAGAAGACTCAGTCTGATAAACAGAATAAACCCAATGAGCTAATGATAGTACTGTACTGTAAAAGGTCCTCATTTGTAATATGAATATGAACAGCAAATACATTATGAAAATAAGATACATGAACAAAATACTTGAATTCAAGTTGTGATCCTGCTTTGGACTAAACATGTAGTTTCCATGCAGCTGTGAAGCTCTATTTTGCCTCGTCTGTTTTCACTACCCTGCTTGTTAATTGTATGATGGTTGTGCTTGGTAGAGGTAATGTGTGTAGATGAGGGATAGAGAGAGATTATGCAAGTACATTAGCTTTAGCTTGTGTGAGCATGAGTCAAAGGCCAGACCCACAACCTATGACTTAGCTACAACACACAACACACTTACTGCTGGTTCCAAGCTCAGTTACAAAATCTTAAAGTTTTCTTTAAATGCATAAGTATGAGGATGTTAAGCTAGGGTGACCATACTCTGACTTCCCAAAAAGAAGACACGACTACGCAGGGGCGGAGTCACGGAGTCGCACAGAGTTAATTTTAAGAGTTTTTCACGTCGGATCGAGTGTCGTTTACGCGCCTTTAACTTTGTAAGTCCACATGACACAAACTCAGAATTTTCGTACAAAACAGCAGACATTTGAAGGATTTTATAAACTTCTCCAGACACAGCTGGACAAGGGCGGACAGCCCCCAAAAAAGAGGACGTATGGTCACCCTATGTAAAGCTCTTATCATATGGTGGTGTGACACTTGCCTGTGTTTAGCATAATTTGGCAGCAAAGTGGTTGATTGTTTCTTGAAATGCCATCTACTGGCTGATAAACCGTATCGTAATTAAATACCTCTTTGCCTGTTATACTGCCAAATCAATCACATCAGCATACAAAACACAACTGACCTTTTACAGTGTGTCACGTTCACAGAATTTTCAGAAATAATAAATGTAAAGCACAAAAAATTTCTACTCAGAAATCAATAGATTATGTATTTTATGATTAAAAAAGCATGGTGTGTCAAGACTGATTGGCTTGTACTGTCAAAGGATGCAAGACACAGAGCTATCTTGACATAATAATGAGAGGAAATGACAAAAGCAGCCTTAAGGTAGGAAGAGATGGAAGCTGAGATAAAGTGCTCATTTGGTATCAAAATTCTTTTTTTAATAAATCTAAACCAAATAAAAACTTTGTCCACATCAAAAATGTGAACATGCTCTATCTAAAGGTAAAACCCTGATTCGACCTGCTGTATGCTCTCTGTTTGCAGACTGTGTTTGGCTGGGCTGTGGTTTAAAAAAATAAAAATTATATATTTCTGGACCTTCAAAATTGATAATCACACTCCTGAAACTATAATGTTAGATTTTATGTATAGTTCAGGGTTGCAAGGCATGACAAAGTTAAATCCTGCAAACCTTAAAAATGTACTTTTAGATTTGCTCTTAGACTCCTATAATGGGATTTTTTGATAATTCACGCTATCCTATTTTATATTCGTCGATCAGCCTGGAAAATCGTGGTAATGTTGCATCTCCTCTCCTCTTTCTCACACAATAATAGCAGGTAGCCATTCAAAGTGACAGCATGGTCACAACCAATAAGCCGACGGTGATTGGGTCTCTTGGGGTTGGATTTATTTTAATTCACTAATCCTGTAATGGTGGAGCCGTGTCCTCCTGGCTGTGGGGGCTCCTTAAACCAAAGCAGTGACAGCGCCCAGCCATGGCCGGCCTGTCTTATTACTTCAACAGAAAACTCACAGAGCCACTAAGCGGTATTTGACTCCTTAAGCTCCTGGAGGACGAAGGTTAGGGGCTAGCGGGGGTGCAGGGATCGAGGAAGGATGCAGGGCTGTTGTTGGTGGTGTTGAAGTCAAGGGGAGGGAAGGGAGTTTTTTTTTTTTTTTAGGGACCTAACAGACGAAACATTCACCTAAAAAAGTGCATCGGCTGGACTAATGGGGAAATTATTTATGAACTATTTGCAGTGCACCTGAAAATACCTCCAGTGAAATTATGTTTGGCAACCTGAACTGCTTTGAAGTCAATGGAGTGGCAATAAAAATTAGGCCTTCATTAGAGAGCTGGGCCTTTCAAACTGAATTGGCCCAGTCTCGGCGGGTCAGGCAGCGCTCTGCTTCCTTCAGCTCTGGCAGCCGCACACACATGGAAGCAATTTGCCTGATTCTCTGCTGTTTTTATGATTTCCCCCCCTTTAATTTTTTTTTTTCTCACCGCACTGCACTCCTTTTATGTTGCATTTAGGAAATTAACACTAACCGACAAATTACTTAGTAAATAAAAAAGAAGGAGCTTTAGACCTTTTTCAAAAATCAGGATAGCCCAAGGGCCGGTGCTCTCCTGGAAACAAAGAAATCATTGATAGCTGTTTAGATACGTCACCCTAAAGCCTGGCTTTATTTTATCAAGTGTGTATAATTTTTCAATTGGAATAAATGTAAGGCATTCATCTCCCCTGTGTGCCCACTCAGAAAAATGGTGCACTTAAGAGGGAGAAAAAAAATCACTTGAAGGGATTTGGGGGTCATTTGCAGACTGCTTTACGCTTCGGTCAAGCACAAATCTCATTCACATTAAAAAAAAAAAGGCAGACCGAAGCAAAACTGTGTAATCTTCACAAAACCAGATGCCCCAAAGTCCAGGGGATTGTAATCTTCAGAGATGTAAGCTAATTACTTAATCACTTGCATTTGTAAATCTTATTATTGTAAAAGAAATTGCCGCTGTGATTAAATTACTGATATTTATCTCCTAATAGCGCTGATTAGGAGGTGATGCTAATCTGTCATTCTGAAAGGCTGATATTAACGGCATCAATCTAAGAAAACAATAAACACTTAATGTGAAAGAGATGTTTTGTGCACTCAGGGGCCAGATGGCCTTCTTTAGTCTGGAATGTGCAGTACTCTGGCCCTGCGTGGCTGCAGCGCTAATGATGGGAACCACAAACTGTTGACTTATTTAATTGAGTTGTTTTGGCCCATTAACCTGTTGTCTGACACGGTGGATATGTGAAATGGGAAAAAGAATATTTTTACTTCACTTTTAAACAGTCGTAGATTCTCATCTGGACTTTTTGGATTGTTTCAATACAGTCAAACGTACAGCTTTTTATCTTTCAGCATGGAGACCCAAGGAGAATTTTTTGGTGTGGCTGCAGTTTGCTGAGAAACACCCATTAAAGCTGCAGTGAGGAACTAAGCACTGTTATTCTGGAGTGACACCTACAGAAATTAAAATTTACAATCAAGAAAAAAACACAAATCTGGCATTTCAAACTTAATCTTATAACCAGAAAGAACTCAAATATTATGTACAAATTTTCATTTCTATAAACAAAATCTAATCTTTAACTAGACACCATATCAGGGGCATTTCCTACATTTTAAACAATATCAAAGTATCTAGCGCTAAAATAAAGCTACTGTGGGGAGTTTTTTGAAATTAATAGAAAAAGACTAAAATTCATAACAGTAGAAAAACTATATCATAAGCCACAAGTTTTATAATTTGGATACCCTAATTTTTAATGCCTAAAATCAGTTTAAGGGTCAGATGCCAAAGAGCTGCTCAAGAATAATCTCTGTCTTTATGTTTCCTGCACTAAATGTTAATAATACTCATTATTTAAACACAAAAGTCATCACTGTTGAGATTTCTCATCTGAAGACTGTATTTAAGGATGTTAAAGATGAGATAAGCAAAGACTGTCTATCAGAGGGAGCACCAAAAACGAAACAAATCAAAAGTTTCCCACAGGAGCTTAAAACTGTCAGGTTTGCCTCGTTGTTGGCGCCCCCTGTAGACAAAGCTGCACCTCTTTTATCTCTACTGACTTTTTCTGTATATATGTAAGGAACATTTTTAACTAAGACATTCATCTCATCAGGCAGTGCCTCATGTACTCAGATATCATTTTTATTATCAGTATTACATTTGGAGGCTTTAGTCCTTACTGCACTGTAGTTGGTTTGACTCCCAGCTACAACCCTTTGCTGCATGTCTACCCCCACCCTTTACTCCCCATATTTCTTTTAATATCCTCGATTGAGCTGCCCTGTCAAAAGAAAGTAAAAAAAAAAATCCTGTGGCAGAGGTTAGAGAAATAAAAGTCAAATACAGAAATAGGCTGTCTTAGTGTCTACTGTCTCATTTGTTTTTGTGGCTCTTAAAAAGGCATCAATATTAATTTCTGTCACAACCAGCCAGAAACTCACAAAAAGAGTTTTACAACCACATATTCCAAATGAGTGACTAAAAATGCACAATTATATATTGAAAAATAGGCCTTAAATAAAACAGACATGTTATAAAAATCTGAAATCATAATTGTATGATATTCTTCCATAGCTGCTGTTTTACTCAGTTCTCCAATTCTTTTTCTATATTAACTGTACTGCACCAAAAACATCCAGATGAGTTCCTTATAAACCTACATGTAATAAACCCCAATTAAAAATCCTGACTTATTTCTAAAAATTATAATGAATACACGATTATTTCAATTGTACCCAGTCCTCAATCTGACAGGAAAAAACTCCCCACAGGATGACGTCTGACTCTCAAGATAAAAAAAAACACATTCACCATTTATTCGCTGCTACACAGCAAAATGATCAGATGAGACAACAGATATATGGTGGCTGTTAATGTTTTTGGCATCTCTAATTATATAGAGAAGTACTTCTAAACATTTTTCAACTGTACAAAAAAGAGAAGAGCAGGTGAACCCCCTCCCTCAGATTTAACAGTCTGTTGTAAATTTTGAGTACCAGTTGCTCTCGAGTACCTTCTGCGATGAAGATCTATGATTTACATTTCTGTGCCCAAGGATTTAAAATATGACAGGCATTTTCAGACACTATGGAGGGATCTGGAGGATAATGAATAACTGGGAACAAAAACATATTCCACGTGCAGCAAAAAGACACCCTCATAACTTCGACAGTGCTGCAGTGGCCTGAGTATTTGAGTATTTTTGAAGCTTTTCCACTTGATTTTATCCTCCCCTGATTTTGGCATATTTTGCACACCGTTTCCCTTGAAAAACTCCAAACCGTGCTGGTGTGTGAAGCTATTCTCCTGTGTTCGCTCTAATGTTACAGAAGTAGCCATAAATTATGCAGCAGGGATATGTATAAGTATTGACTTTAATAAAAGCTGTTTCCTACACACAAGCTTTTGTACCTGCCGAAAGAATCACTTGGGTGTTTCCAAACACTCGACACACACTCGCTTTTCTCTCATTCACTCACATGCTCCTCGGTTGACTCTCAGCTGGGGGAAATGAAACTAAAAAGAGCATAATTAAAATAATAATAGAGTCTCCTCTTGTTTTGGGGAGGTTCAAATTTTTTTTTTTTTTTACGTTGGAGGAATTTGCAGGAAGTGTCGAGGACTGTTAGAGTAAATAAGTAAACTCTGCTTTGTTGGATTGTGAAACCTAATCAAGTAGAGGCTGTCAGGAGTTGTCTCGCTCCGTCTCTCTCTCTGTTTTCTTTTTTCTCTTCCCTGTATGTCTGGTGTGACACGCCGTCGAGTGTTAGTGCTGAATACATAATACTTAGAGAAAAATAACAACTCTTTAACGGAAGAACAACAAGCATCCGCACACTGAGACACACAAACAAATGTTACTCCGTCTTTCCCTCCATCTTCCCCCATCCTGACCCCGAAATGAGGTTCACTGTGCTCTGCATGTCATTTGTCCACTTCTCCTTCCTGTTTTGGCCTCTAGTGCTTTGTGTCTATGAATGCTAACATGTCTTACCTTGCCCTGGGCGAGAAAGAAAGTAGAGTATACCTGGTATTTGACCATTCTCATCCGGTAGTCTCTCTCTGGAAACCTCAGACAAAAACATCCGCAGACTCTCAAAAAACACACTCGCTCACAAACACACACTCCCTGACAGTTGGGCTGAGGTCTCGCTGGCACTGCTTGTCAAAACCGAATAAGTGCTTGTGTTTGCTGGCCATGTGGTGCCCTTCACGCTGAGAGGGAGGCTAAAATGGCTGTTGACACCAGAAGACAGCAAACACACGGCTCTGGAGTGGACTCCAACACAATACTCTGTACAACCAACTCCTCGCAGTGAAAATAAAAACCTGAGGTGTCCATCAGCAGCCTTAACTGTGAAAACCATACAGAAGATTTCATCAAACAAAAACACCCGTCACTGATGTGGTGGTTGGAAGTGTCCTTGATAGTGAAAAATACACAAAAGCCAACATGACGACCAAGACATACGCATATATATAATATTGAAGACATCACAAGACACCATGTAATTGTTCTTATATAATTAGATATGATCCTACCGATAAGATTTGCCTGATATTTAGATTTTTCTTTGGGTCATTAGAAATATTGAGAGAAAATATTTCTGTTATTTCACAGCTGTTAACTGAGTTTTTAGAACACGGCTCTCAAGTCTCTAGAAATGGTTCAAATTGGTGTTTGATTACGTTTCTCTTTAATTTGAGTTTCTGAAAATTGCATCAAACGTTCTTTTTCTAACTCAAAGTTGCTTCAAATACCTAAAAACATTTTTTCCCAACTATATTTGGCTAAGAGTGGCTTTACATGTTCATTTTTTATTAATTTGAGTTGCTTGGAAAGGCCAAAGTTTTTCATTCAAGCATGAGGTCCTAAAATATTGCTGGAAAGAAGGTATATTTTTGTGCTTCAGTATGCTGCAAGAACTGGCTTCATTTTTCCCAGTATGAGTTGCCAAGACCACAACCAACTAAAAGTAAACCAGATCAAAAACAGCTTTAAAAATCCCTACAGAAAAATATGATTTTGTTTCTGTGGTCAAAAGAGATAACTTCAACCATCTTTTATAGAAATTAGTCTTTTAGATGATGAAACATTGGGAAGAATTTAAAAATCATGAGCATTCATGGGCACTAAAGTGCAATGTCAAGTGTTGATGTGGGATTCTAAGGAGCTCAGTATTGGAGTTGAATCACCAGATCTCAAGTCTCTGGTCCTCATTGTTCATATCTGGATCAAGTCCCACTTGAGCCCTCATTGAAGTCATTGTTTATGACAGAGAAAGTGACAGTTTCTCTCAAAACTATACAAAATTATCTTAACCTCAGCTGACTGTGTAGGAGTCGAGGTGTCTAAAAAACTCAAACCTTCCTACAGTGAATTTGAATCAAACTAACCAAAATCCTTTGACCTGGCAGTTGAGTCACTTTGATGGCTACTATAACTGTTACAGCTGCTTGTATCCTGCCGTTCCAGCACTCCGTTGGTATCTTTAGCTTGATCACAGAGGCATAATCAAAAACCCAAGTAACATACTGCACATTTGCTGTACAGCTCTTGCTCACAATTACAGTAAAATCTTCAAAAGCGTGATTCCTATGCTGTCAGGAACCATTGCTGGACAAGATGACACAGGAACATGAATGCAGGTGACCACATATGCCAGTCGTTGCTTTAGACTGTGCGAAAAATATCAACAACAAATCAGTGTATATCAACAAATAATGCTGCACTTCAGTTACCTTGGAAGTCGGATGTAGGAGCTGGGAATGACGCTACACCCGAGTTGACAGCGTTCCAGTTAACAAGTCCAAAAACCAAGATGGATGCCTACAGTTACCTGTGGTTAGTTGTTGTTTACAATTGTCAGCTGTCATTAGCCATTGTCAGTTGTTGTTAGCGGTTGTCAGCGGTTGTGAGTTGTTGTTAGTTATACCAGTTGTAAACAACGCATAACACAGTATTTTACTCTTAAAAACACCATACCACCGTGTTCACGGTTAGACATTGGGCAGCACATCATATACCACTTACTCAATTTCACCAAAACCAAACAGAAGTGCTAACAAATAATACACTACGAGAGCTTTCACTGTGACCCTTTACTGTTGATGCACTGCACTGCCATCTTGAATTATGACGATGTCGTCAAGTCAGGGTTGGCGAGGATCGTCAGACTTTCTGAGTCAGAAATCCGACTTCAGGGGATGTTCCAGATGAATTTCCGACTCGAAGGTCAACTTCCAAGTACAACTAGGACGCAGCAAAAGTTTGAGTCTCTCACACTTCTGAGACCTAATGCAGTCAATAATCAAGTCAGAGCACCAAACAGTTATCGGTGCATGAGTCCAAGTTGAGTCATGAGTCCTGGAATTTGGGACCTGAGTCAAACTCAAGTCCTGGACTCAAGTCCTGGGCTCAAGCACTAGAACAGTGATGGGGTTGCCTGGAGTCCATTCCCAGTTCCAACAACATACGGTGCAATCAACATTCCACCCACTGAGAAGAAGAAAAGAGGGGGTCAATCAGCGCCCTGATCTGTGAAAAACACAAAGAAGATGTCATCAAACAAAAATGCTTAGGTACTGTTGCTGAAAGATGGATGCTAAACAGAGGGGGGGCAGGGTACTATTAAGATGACATAAGGGACAACCTCTCAACAGCTGCATGGGAGTGCCGTCTGCAGAAAGTGGAGGGTGATACAAGGGAACAGTGATAGACTAACTGGAACACGGGGAGGGGGGAGTCATCGCCAGTCTAAGCATGTGCTGATTGAGCCAAGCTCTTTTTAACCAGCAGGCCTTTGGAGACCCTGTAGTTGGCAGCAGGGTCACAAGAGTACCAGCGGGGGATACACGGGGCTTCAAAAAGCCTCTCTGTGCTTTATCGAGCAACTGCGTGCTACGTGGAATGCAGCCGCGCCGAGACTCACTTAGCCGTGGTGGGACCTGTTCTGATTGAGCTAACAGCTGGGATATGACATCAGCCATCAGAGTGTTGGCCATGTTTTCACTCACTGCAGCAATTCTGCTCTTAAAAGGTTCCATCAGTACCACTCGGGCGAGTTGAAGAGAGTTGCTTTTCATCTCTTTGGCTGTGCAATCCCCCAGCTGGTCAGACTAGTGCCCCTTTGGTAAGAGAGGATGGAGACGCCAGAGTGCTGGGCTCATAAGTGGCTCATTGTCTATGAGTAGGATTCATAAAGAAACACATGCACGCATACATCTGAGTATAAGACAATTACAGCCATAAAGGAGGCTACATTTTTCCGTTTATGTCTGCTCTTAAGCTTGTAACTGAAACCAAATGGCACCTATATCTCACGTCTGTGACAACAATGGATTTCATGTGTGCGAGATGTTTTGGCAACATGTCCGAAAACTTTGGTTTGACCTCTGCGCAGGTACTTGTGAATGAATTTTCATGAGTTGTACTGAGCCTCCAGTCACAGTTTCCAACAGGGGCCTCTTAAAAATACTAAAGTCGACCTCCTCCGAGAGCACACTGTGATTTAACACTTGAATTTCTCCAACATAAAAATCCCTCTTTTTTTTTTTTTTTTTACTTTCTACCCCTGTCTTCTGTCCAAGTATCTTTCCACAGTGACATCGAGGGACCAATTGAGACAGAAGTCTATTTGCACTGCTCTGTGGTGTGTTTGAGTCTATGCACACATCGCCTGCAGTGAGTAAATCACCAGGGTGGAAGAAAAGAACGGTGAGGAGAAAGAAAAAAAACTAGCAGGCAAAACAGAGCTACAAAGCAGCTTATCACATTTAGCATGTGCTTATTAGGCCTCGTGGCTCTGCGTCGGCTGCTGAGAGATTGAGCTGAGTTATTTGAACTGCTTCAGACTGATGGTGAGTCTGGGGTATTCTGATGAAATGCAGTGACATCGTCAAACTCACACGGAGGCCTGCTGCTGGAGCTGCTCGGTGAGTAAATGAGGAAAACTAAACACCCCAGGAAGATGTGATTATGAAGTGCATTTGGGTAGAGGAACTGTTCGCTTTGTGACTGACATGTTTCATAGTTTAACTGACAAAGACTACCGAAGAGGGGAAACAAAAACACAGACGTTTGGCACATAGTCAAACTCTTAAAACACTAGAAAGTGCAATCTTCCTTTTGATATATTCTAGAAATTCTGTACATCACAATGATTTGATCTTCATGGAGCTGGGTGACCTTAGCCCTTGTAATGGATGGAGTAAAATCATCTACTTGCTTAATTCGCACAAATCTAGACATGTAAATGAATAGTATTTACTCACTTCATTCATGCGTCAACAGTAATTTCAATGTAATCACTGCCAATTCAACTGGTGGGATCAAGTGATAGACAAAGGTTTTTTACAACTCACCAGGTAATCCCACCTCCTCACTTACTTGCCTCCGGGCGAGCTACTTTTTATTCCGGTTTCAGTAATTCAAAGGAAAGGTATCAGATAATTCGGGGCACCCACACATCGATACTAGTGAACAACCGTCTGTTTTCATACGTCACCCGGCAACCTTCGTACTGATTAGTTATCGCGATGTGAATATCCGCTCAAGTTGAGACATTTTCAGCTTCCGCCTAATTCGTGTCTTTCACACCGCCAGAGTAGGAGTGTCTAATCGCGTCTTTCCATTGACTTAGCATGTAATTCAGTTGAGCGAATGATTTTACAGACAGTAACAGATAAACCTGTTTGCTTTCCCTCGTCATCATCCCTGCTCCATCCACTGTCCTCTTTTCTCTGATAAAGGCACAAAAGTCCAAATAATGAACTTGTGTTTTTGAGGGATTGGATCCAGATAGTCTTTAAATACCAGGATCTTCTCTGTTAGATAGGAAAGTTCCTGGATGCTGCAGAAACACAGTTCATCCCCGGAAGCTGCCGGCTCACGAGATGAGTGGATTTTACAGTAAGTTGATAAAATGCAGATTTCTGTTTTTAGAACTGATAATTTAAACACAACAACAGGACACCATCCACAACATTATCAACCTTACTAATTACTGATTCGCACTTCGATGTACGTTAAAGAAAAAGCATGTCTTATATTTTGGTCAACATAGTAAACCTCTTTTGAAAACTGTTATTCGTCTAAATAGTCACCGCTTATTAAATCTACTGACAGACAAAAAGACTGACAAATGTACAACTTTACAATTATGAGCTAATGAATGGCTTCTCAAGAGTTTTTCTCAGTCATAGCTGATTTTTAATCCATTGAACTGATATTAAAATCTTAAATCATCCCAATTTCTGTGTCCACTTCTTTATCAGTCTGTTGCAAAATCAGAGAGTTTCAGCAGCAACAGCTGAACCCACAACACCAGCTGTGTATTTCTGTTCAGATAAAACTAACATCAATAGGTGTCATCCTCTGTAACCCCTGTCTAAAAGATAACCATAAAGTCGACTTTTGGGTCTCGTAATGTTTTTGTTTCTGACCCCACAGCCATGGTGTTAATCACAATTCCTGGAAACCAGCCTGCAGCCCAAACTAAACACAAAACTACACGCAATATTTTGCATGGGCGGCCCTCCCACATATAATCTATGTGTGGGAAACTCTGCCTGATATAAGGCAGCCTCGAGAAGTCTGGAATCTAAAGTTGTTTTATCGCCAATTTTAAGTTTTCAGTGTTTGAGAAAATGAAGATGGACACGGACTCAGATAACAGAGCAAGTCCCAGAATCTTTGTGCTACACTCTTCGTGATGTCCGGGACATCTCTTATCAAACTCATTAATAAGCAACGTGCTAATGATACATGTGTAGGATCAAAGCGAGGGATTTTAAAAAACGGTCAAAATCCGACCGAATCATTAGTCTGTGTTTGGATTGGTGTTGTCTCACTCAGTTAAATCAAAACCTCCACCTTCTCCTGACTTCCCTCAGTGTGTGTTGATGCTGTAGGTAGTGTACGCTGGTTCTGCCTCATTACTCCTAAAAAGGTCTGGCAGGTTCTCACAACAAGCTACCCGTCCTCTTAAGCTCAAAGGGAATCAGCAGCATTGTGACTGTCTCAGCCAACCTAAGCTTCCCTTTGTTATCCTGCCAAAAAAGGGCTCATGGAGTAGTCGCATGTTACCGCCGCTCATTCTCACGTCATGGCGCTGTCATATAGTATAGAGGGCTTCAGTCAGACCTGAGTGTTGCAGGACGGTATTAGAAAGAGCGAGAGAGAGTGACAGAGAGAGAGAGAGAGAGAGAGAGAGCTCACATGCACCGGGGTAATTTGAGTCGAACATTGAGTTGCACAGGAGGAAAACCTTTTTTGGGCTTTATTTTTTATTTAAGGTGCTGTTAAAACTCTTTTAACAA